AGTGCTAGAGGGGTCTGAAAAGTGGCTAAATATAGCGACTAAAGCGCTAAGTTGGCAACACTGCTCTTTGCATGGTTTGTTTTCAAATGGTTTGCTGCTGTCTGTTTGGACCTTTCTGAACATGTGCAGCAAATGGACTGATCCAATATGGTGGACACTGAAGACACAATTAATATTATAATTGTTCTGATGACATTTTAGCCAAAGGATTTTTATCAAAATCATAATTAATGTGCTTAAATAAGGAATAGTTGTATTAATGTGTCACATGCTCATCAGGAGGTCAAACAGTGTTGGAGGTGGGACCCAAACCGGTTGAAAGGAGAACATGCTCCAAAGAGTTTTCAGCTAACGAGTCTTTCATTTTTTCTGGTGCAGGACATCAACCAAACCACATCAACCACAAGAACAGTGGCAGACACATGTTTCTTATATAGAGGTGGAACTAAATTGGAAGAAACCATTTTAAAAAGGATGCTCAGATGCAAAATAACGAGTTAAACAAAAACAAAATATTGTAAAGTGAAATCTATTTAGCTTTTTACAAAAATGAAAACAATATGTGGCCTCTCAAAGAACCACATCCCAAACAAATCCACTGCGCCCAAAGCATCAAAAATAAACCAATCTACAAAACCAGATCCTGAGTTTAACTCTTATTTTAGCCAATATACAGAATGGCTCATTGTTTTATGGGGCCCCCAGGAGCTCGGGGCCCTAGGCAATGTGCCTAATGGTAAATGGTGAGTAAAGGACAGCGGTCCATCGCTTCCCGCTGAGAGGTTTTGAATTAGAAGTGAATGAGAGGATCGGAGGGAGGAGCTGACAGGTAGACGCGCTGCGTCCTCCGTGATGCTGCGCTCTCCTCCGGCTGCAGCCACACCGGAGATCCTCACCTCAGTTAAAACCTGAAATCCTCCTCATCTCACTTCTCATTTCTGCTTTTCTGCTTCCTAACCGCCGACGGGATCTTAAAAGAAAAGAAAAGAAAAGAAAAATGGCACATCATGGATTAAAAGCGCGCAAAGCGCAGGCGGACTTATCTGACTGCTGTTTGCAGACTGTTTATCCTTCTCTCTCTGGCTGAGCTTTCTGCTCCTGTTTCTCCATTTTTTCCCATCAGCTCCTTTTTTTTCAGGACATCGAGGCGTTTTTTCTACACGAAGAAAGAAACGCGACAGTTGGAAAAAACGTTTTTGTTAACAATATGCTCCTTTATGCTGCTCTGCCTTTTATTAAAGTATTTTAGGATTTCATTTTAACTATATAACTTAGAAATGGAGCCAGGGAAGGAGAACGCGCTCCCCATCAGGGAGGGGGTTAAACAGATGGCAGGAAAGGCCCTGGGGAAGCTGTACAGGTAAAGAATAAAGTCATTCTTTTCTTATTTCCATAGAAATTCTTATTAAATAAAATAAAAATCCCCTAAATGATGCGCACGTGTTTTTACGTGTTCTGGGTGGGATGGATCACGCATAGTGACAGCAGAGTCGTGTGGCCCCAATATTTAAGGATCAGCATTATTTCCCAGGAGGGTGCCCCCGCCCCCCCCCCCATCGCCAGGGGCCCGCGATGTTTTTAATAATTAATGAAACAGATCGAGTCGTGACTCCAAGTCCAGGAGATATTTGTAAAAGGATCAGAGTTGAATCACCTCCCATCGATCAGATTCATTTCAGCTGATTTCCTCTGAAAAACTGGAGAACAGTTTGTCTCAAACTGCAAACATTTATATTTTATACATTTTTTCTGTAAAAACGGATCGAATTGCAATATGTTTAGATGTAATAATAAAAAAAACATTTTTTTTCCAACCTTAGTTGCTGTTTTTTTTTTCCTTTGTTATTTAATGTAACCCTTTGTCTTAAAGCGCAGGCCTCATTTCTTATTTTATGTCTAAATCAGGATCCAGATGTTGAATTTAAAGCTGCGGCGCAGAAACGTGACTCTGTGCTGAGAAAAAAAGGCCTGTTTGCCAAACTGAGGGCCTCACATTTCATTAGGATCTGAAGACATTAAACATTATAGATATTTAGAGAAGATTTAACTAAAAAAAAAAAGGAAAACATATAAGGCCGTAACTAAAAACAAGAAGGTTGAAATGATCTCCAAGCAGATGCTGCTGCAATGCGGTATGACGGTTTTTTTCTCTCCTTACAGCAAGAAAACGAAAATATATTTTTCTATTTAATGTAAAAAAAAATTAAGGAGAGAAAATGTATTTTCTGAAAGTAAAAATGGGGATTTGTCCTTTAGAAAGAGAGAGACGAAGGTAACGTCTCATTTATAATAAGGTTATGGGGTTTTTTGTGTGTAAAATAACCACTTCTGATCCTCTTGATTTAACAATAATAATAATAATAATAATAATAATAATAATAATAATAATAATAATAATAATAATAATAATAATAATAAATCCCTTGTTTGCATGAACGCCTGCATGCATCAGACATGTTGGTTATATAATGGTCCTGTGATGCAGGAGGATGGAGAAAAAGCAGCAAACAGGTGAGAGCATAGAGCTGACGGAGGACGGCAGACCCAGGGGGGAGCAGGAGCGCAAGGCTCCCCTGTGTGACTGCACCTGCTTCGGGCTGCCGCGCAGGTACATCATCGCCATGCTGAGCGGGCTGGGCTTCTGCATCTCCTTCGGGATCCGCTGTAACTTGGGTGTGGCCATCGTCAGCATGGTGAACAACAGCACAATCCATCAGAACGGCAAGATCATCATTAAAGAGGTGGGCGCGCTGACCACGCCCCCTTTCCCCTCCCAGTCCCTCATATAGAGCCCTGCTTTATTTGATCTTTTTATTCACTTTCTGGACAGTCATTTTTAGGGAAGAGGATTAGGGCCTCTGAATAAATAAAAATCTGATTTTAACATTTTATTTTAGTTTAATATGGATCATTATTCTGACTTTAATCTCAGAATTGTGGATCTTAATGTAGATGGACACCATGGAGGTAGAGATGTGGAGCTTCCCTGACAAAGATGGGACTTATTTGGGAGGAACAGGAACACTGAAATAATAATCAATAATAGAAGAGCAGAAGGTGATTAAAACCAGAGAGCTAGTTTAGTCTCTAAAACAGACATGTCAGAATTCAGAGTTTAATCTTATATTAAACTAAAATAAAATGTAAAAATGGCCCTAACCCCCTTCCGTATATTTTTTAATTTACTAAAAGTTGAATAAGATAAATGCCTGTTTTGATATGCTTTTGTTTTTGTCGTTTCCCTTTTTTTTCTTCCTATAAAAAGAAAATCCAATATTGTATTTCCAAATTTCTTAAACAGAAGTTTAAAAATATAGTAATCTAATTTTAAAATGCTTGATATATTTGTCTTTGTTTTGAAGAAAGCGAAATTCAACTGGGACCCAGAGACTGTGGGAATGATTCACGGCTCTTTCTTCTGGGGTTACATCGTGACTCAGATACCAGGTGGTTATATTTCCTCCAGACTGGCTGCAAACAGGTAAAATCACACATCCTGCCATCATAGTTTCAGTTTATAAAAACATAAATGGGCTTTTTACTGTGTGTGTTTGGGTACATTTTTATACCAAGCAGAAAAATCTTTAATAATTAAATGGTGTCTAATTAAACTAATTTCCAATTTTTTTTTTTATTTGGACTCACTATTCAAATTTCAGCTAATTATATATTCTAATATGTAAGTCCTATTCATAACTTTTCCTTTTACATAATTTCTAATAAAAGCAGAAAAAACCTATAGGCTATTAGTAATAAACTATTCAAATTAGATCTAACGAAGTGGCATTAAAACCAAATGCTTATGAAAAGACGAAGGCCTCAAGCTCCGATGTAAATTTAACTTCTGCATTTAAACCAAACTAGAGGAAAAGTGAAGTGAACTAAAAACATTTTAAATCATTTCTTAAAACATTTTTTCCCCTGACACCTGTCATTCCCTGACAATGGCTGCCTCAGGGTTAGAAAAAGCCTGACTTGCTGCAACTTTAACTTCGTTATTAAAAAACCTAAATTGATTTTTTATACAACCAGGGTGTATAAAAAACAACATTTCATTCAGTAAAGCTCTCAGGACAGTTCCATTTCCTAAAGTGCAGCAGTGATAAAATGTAAACATAAGACTGAGATATGCTGAGATATAATGAGATATGCTGAGATTTGCTGAGATATAATGAGATATTCTGAGATTTGCTAAGATATTCTGAGATTTGCTGAGATATGTTAAGATATGCTGAGATATGCTGAGGTATGCTGAGATATTCTGAGATTTGCTGAGATTTACTGAGATATTCTGAAATTTGCTGAGATTTGCTGAGATATGCTGAGATATAATGAGATATGCTGAGATATGTTGAGATATGCTGAGATATGTTGAGATATGCTGAGATATTCTGAGATTTGCTGAGATATTCTGAGATTTGCTGAGACATGTTGAGACATGCTGAGATATGTTGAGATATGTTGGGATTTGCTGAGATTTGCAGAGATATGTTGAGATTTGCTGAGATATGCTGAGATTTGCTGAGATATGTTGAGACATGCTGAGATATGCTGAGATATGTTGAGATATGCTGAGATATGTTGAGATTTGCTGAGATATGCTGAGATATGTTGAGATTTGCAGAGATATGTTGAGATTTGCTGAGATATGTTGAGATATGTTGAGATATGTTGAGATATGTTGAGATATGTTGAGATATGCTGAGATATGTTGAGATTTGCAGAGATATGTTGAGATTTGCTGAGATATGTTGAGATATGTTGAGATTTGCTGAGATATGCTGAGATATGCTGAGATTTGCAGAGATATGTTGAGATTTACTCAGATATGCAGAGATATGCTGAGATATGTTGAGATATGCTGAGATATGCTGAGATATGTTGAGATTTGCTGAGATTTGCTGAGATATGCTGAGATTTGCTGAGATATGTTGAGACATGCTGAGATATGTTGAGATATGTTGAGATTTGCTGAGATTTGCTGAGATTTGCAGAGATATGTTGAGATTTGCTGAGATATGCTGAGATTTGCTGAGATATGTTGAGATTTGCTGAGATATGCTGAGATTTGCTGAGATATGTTGAGATATGTTGAGATTTGCAGAGATATGCGGAGATATGCGGAGATATGCTAGCTAATGATGTGTTTTCAAAAGCCACACAAATGTTTTTCTTGATAATCATGTGCATGTACAATCAGCAATTACTGATTTTTCATGGCGATGTTACTGAACCACTTAAAAAAGGATTACATTTTCAAATCTATTATAGAAAGTTTGCATTTAAATGTCTATAGAGCTATAGCTTAGATAGGGAGGGTATTTGCTCAGTAGCAGCGGCTTTGCAAAGTTAAGCCTGCTAGCCTGAGCTATTTAAAACCCAATAAAATATTTTCTTACTAGAATGCAAACCCCTTTTGTTTAGGGACACAGCTATATGGTGATTGCTTCTAGCTTCAGCTTTCCTGTCTTGTTAATCAGTAACAGATATTTAGGATTAAGACGTTCAGCTTGCTAAATCATGTGACAGTAACTTTAGCGCCAAAGCAGATCAAATTTAAACTCTGTCTCAAACTTACAGTAAATTGAACTGTATTGATCTCACCATGAAGAAATGAACTCTCTGCATTTAATCTACCCCCTTTGGGGAGCAATGGGCTGCCATTGTGCGGCACCCGGCGAGCAATCGGGGGTTAAGCGGAATACACTTAAAAATAAAAAAAGCAAAGCTCTCGATTTTGCGGTCGATCTACGTTCCTACCCTCATCTATGGTCATAAGCTTTGGGTCATGACCGAAAGAACGAGATCCCGGATCCAAGCGGCTGAGAAGAGTTTTCTCCGTAGTGTGTCTGGGCTCTCCCTTAGAGATAGGGGGAGGAGCTCAGTCACCCGGGGGGGACTCAGAGTAGAGCTGCTGCTCCTCCACATGGAGAGGAGACAGATGAGGTGGCTCGGGCATCTGGTTAGGATACCTCCTGGACGCCTCCCTGGTGAGGTGTTCCAGGCACGTCCCACCGGGAGGAAAACCAGGGGGAGACCCAGGACACGCTGGAGGGACTATGTTTCTCTGCTGGCCTGGGAGCGCCTTGGGATTCCCCCAGAGGAGCAGAGGGACGTCTGGGTCTCCCTACTGAAGCTGCTACCCCCACGATTTGGACTTGCTATTCTTGACTTGTGAGTCAACTCGAGTCTTTCACATCAAGTCAATGGACCTAACTTAAGACTTGGGCTTTCTTGTGATTTGGGAAGTAATTGACCGGTTCCACCTCTGCTGAGCGCCTCACAACAAAAGACATTAATGTTCGGCTGAACCGTCGACTTCAGGAAAATTATCAAAAAAATGTTTGTTTTCTTTAATTGTTACCAAAAAAACGAGTCAATGAGTTTTGAGTCCTTATAGAACAAGGACATAATGGCTAACATTTAAACCGTTATTTTTATATTGTACCAGAAGAAGAAAAAGAATCGATGGTCCTCATTGATGTGAATGTTGGGCTTGGAGAAAACCAGCAGATGAACTGGGATTTGGCTCATGCCCGCCAGGCGTGCCTCCCCATGTTAATGAGCTCCCATGGGACAAACCGTGTCTAATCCTTTATGTTGGGATGCATGGCAACCACACAAGCCAAAGCCTTGTGTGAAACCTGCTTCTAGGCAGTGATTGCAGTAAAACTGCAGTGGGTGTGGAGCTCACATTTTTATTTTACTGACGACTGATTAGTCAGGTGTTAGCTGAAGAGTTAAAGCAAGTCTGCAGCAAAAATCAGTTATTCTGAAAATGGTAGGAGGAGCTCAACATGCTGGTGGGTTAATAATTAAATCTGATCAGATGAATGAAATAGATGAACATTTTAGGGCTTTATA